ATTTCGTTTTACGATAATCAACTCTGCATGGCACTTTCTATACGAAATCAGCTACTGCCGAGTCATTCATTACGAAATATGCTACGATCATTTGTTAGCGAACCAGACGGCGGACGCCGCCCAAATGTCGCATGACTTGATTTCGTTCACAGAATCATGATTTCGTAACGAAATCAAGTCTACAAAGTGATTTCGCTTACGAAATCAACTACTGAGAGGGATTTCGTGACGAAATCAGCTACTGCGAGTCATTTCGTGACAAAATCAGCTACTGCGAGTTATTTCGTTACGAACAATGCGACACTTGGGCCGCGGCGCGCCAAGTGTAGCATGACTTGATTTCGTTACGAAATCAGCTACTGCGAGTGATTTCGTAACGAAATCATGCTACACTTGCGGCGCCGGCGCGCCAAATGTCGCATGCCTGATTTCGTTACGAAATCAGCTACTGCCAATCAAATATTTGTACGAATCATGCGATTTCGTTACGAAATCTGCTACACTTGGCGTGTGGGCGCCAAGTGTCGCATGACTGATTTCGCTTACGGATCAGTCTAAGTGATTCGTTACGAAATCAAGTCTACAAAGAAATGCATGTAAATATTTGCGGTATTATTATTATGCCGGGAAAAAATGTTAAAGGTAAAGATAGAAAATTAAACAATATGCATACATGGGGGTGCCGTGCATGGATGTGGCGAGGACTGGTACCCCGGTCCACCTCTCGGCTTAGTTACGCGGGCCTTAGTTACCCATCGGGATCAAGTGGAGCGAGTACCAGTTCTGACGTCTCAAAAAATTGCTGTAACCCCGTAAGTACCCAGCGCATCGTAGCGCACCGATGGTTACAAGAAGGTGGACGTTTACTGATTCATTTGGTATATCACATGTGTGGTGTTCTTTGGCGATACTTGGAATATAAGGCAACTACGTGTTTAGCTGCAGCCTGTGTTCGAAACGGTATTCTAACCTTAGCAATACCGTTTCTTGGAGCTAATTCCTAACTAAAGTAAAAGCAGAATGGACACCTTATTGGCCATTAAGCGTAAAGAAAGTTATGGGAAGGTAATGTGTATATAAAGAGTTTCTGTTTCTGTTGTAGTACGTTGCAGTATCCAAATCTGGCATCGAGGCAACGTAGTATAATGATTTGGCACTATAGAGTAGTATAGTATACCTATATTACGCCCGCATGGTTTGCTTGCTTACCTTGCGCCCAAAAGTCTGAACAGACTGCATCGGTAAGTTTTGTGTTGACATCTGCAAGTAGGAACGAAATTATTTACATAACTATAGCAATATATGGCTATCGTTTGTTTATGTCCACGTATACGTGAATAACTTTAGACATAAACACCGTTTCACGCAAATATATTACGAAACAATATAGCCAAACGAACCTCGTCTTATCGTCAGATTTCCACCATTAAAAAGGACGTTCATACAACCGACGGTGGCGACACCGTTTGGATTAGTCGAGTTTATAATACAATATATTTAATTTCAGATTTAAAGCTTTCAAATTATTTTATACCAAAAAAGGTATGTATATACCTAAAAACCCATTTATGACAAAATTGTTTTCTAAAATAACCCGAATTTTGACCAAGACCTAAGCAAATGCATATATGCACAACAAAGTCACTTGTGTCGGGTGGTGATGACATCTTGTTTTTCATGGCGCGTTATATCAAAGCCGCCGTAAAATGTGGAAGAATATAACACTAATAACAATCAGTTACAATGTTATGCTGAAGAGCCAAAATGACGCCGTAGGTTTATAAACCGATAACTACAATATACGGAGTTCAACTTGCCACTTGGGCATCGCTTGTATTTTACTGCCACTGTACTACTAGTAGTAGTACTACTACTACTACTACTAGTAGTAGTACTACTGAGTACTGTACTGAGTTACTACTACTACTAGTAGTAGGTAGTAGTACTAGTCTGTACTGTACTACTACTAGTACTAGCTCTAGTCTAGATAGTATTACTATTAGTAGATTCTAGAACCATATATAAATTATAAATATAGCCCGGCCCTAGCTCTAGTATCGCTCACGTGTCACCTCGGTTCACGTGCCTACACGGTTCATGAACCGAGCTCACCAGTCTCGAGATCGGTGAGCTCGGTTTGTGACCCGTGCTCACCGATCTCGAGATCGGTGAGCTCGGTTCGCCGTCTACCTCGTGTACTAACTCTAATATCTCGCGAACAGTTTGAGTTACCATTCTAAAATTCTAGACACATATAAACACATGTCTTAGCTATGATTTCTTATTTTTTAGCTCATCTGACATAGTCAGATGCAGCTTGTAGAATCGCTTGATCGTCGGGCGTCCGTCGTGCGTCCGTCCGTCCGGGCGTCAACAGTTTGGGCACAAATCTTAACCGCTCGACGTACGGTCACGATATTCAAGACGTCGGGGGGATCGTCAAAACGAGTTGGGATTGTCGAAGCTGGGGGTCAAAGGTCAAAGGTCAAGAGGTGTAAAAGAAGGGGGAACATTCACTCTTAACTTAAGGTATAGGGAGAAATGCAGAATTGCGGCACAAATTCTAAACGGCTCGACCTAGGCTTGTGATAGTCCGGTGTATAGCATCATGGTAGGAAAAGCCATCACTGTGCCGAAAATTGGAGGTCACAGGTCAAAGGTCAGTGGCACAGGGCAGATTTTAGACATTTTCTGAGGACATGGTCTGACGGAGCGATTGGAAAACTTTTTTGTTTCAGCGGTGACCTAGCATTTTATGGTTGTTTATGAAAGACGAATGAAAAGTCCCTTCTGCTGACATCGACGAGTAAGTGTCGGATAACCTTTTGACCCTCAAGAGGAGGGTTAAACATGGATTTGTTCACTGTCAACAAAGGACTGAACTGCTTTTGCTATTATTAGAGCCCATACCTGTGTCAATGTGAGGCTACAGTTGCACAGTTTAATTGCAAAGGCAAATGTTTGTGAACCAAGGTTCGCGTCCTTAAATCATATGATTTTCTAAAGCAGTCTGTCTATAGCACCCTGCCATTAGGCCTGAAGGCTGAATGATGAATCAGTGAATGCTCACGAGGCAAAAACACAGGCAGCCCATGGCTGGCACGCTTCTATCTTAATTGTTGCTGCAACCTGCAATGCACGCTGTTAACTCACAGCTGAGGCAAACTGCCTGAATATACTTACTTGGATTTTAGCCTGTACCTACTGTAGCGATTCAGGAACGATGCCATCTTTGATTATTGATTACACTTGCACGCGCTGCCATCTCGCGGCAACTATAGGCCTAGTTTAAATTAGATTTATTCTCATGTATTATCTTATACGAATAAATAATAACTAGTACCATATTATAATATTATAATATTTACTTTTCATCTTGAATCTAACATATATCATGTAGCTATGGCGTGCGTATTCCATTACGCAGTTGTGCGAACATAAGCTGTTACACATAGAAATATTAGAGACACTATATATTATGATTTCTATGACTGTTACACTCAGGGGCATAGGAAGAAAGCATTATTAAGGGGGCAGTAAAAGGCATCATCGCTGGGTTTTAATTTTTAATATAATTAAGAGAGAGAGAGAAAGTCTAAGATAAAGAGAGAGAGAGTAGTAAATTGAGACGGGGACAGGAAAACGGTGATACGGTGTGTGGCGAGCGGGAACCGGGGGTAACATTAGCGTCGTGCGAGATGTTGTGCAAGGGGATGGGAAGTGGGAGGCAGGGGGAGGAGGTGCGAAGGTAGGGGGAGGGAGTATGGGAGCGTAAGGGAAGTGAGAGCAAAGAGGAGTGAAGTGGAGGCAGGGGGAGGGAGGTGGGACGCAGTGGGGAGGGAGGTGGGAGAGAGGACCTCCCGCCCCCCTCTAATTAAACTTGAGATCCTGCTCATATGTTGAAATCTTTATAGATAGATAAAAATAGATAGCTGTGAATCTGATGACACAAAATTCGAAGGAAAGGCAAGTATCATTTAATAAAATAAACCAAAATCGCATGGGGGGGGAGATAGTGACGGTGTCCTAACATGATGTGTACGCAACTGCGTATCTGCATATCTGGCCTAACAAATGTGTCACTACGCACACGACTGAAGTTTATAACCGTAGCAACAGACCCAGATGAGCTCAGCCGCTCTTGGCGGCTCTTTGTTGAGTTTATTGAAGCACGATAGTGTAATTAATACGGTACGTGTAGAAATATACCTACGGCGTATCGTCATATAGGTAATATACGCGCGTATCGTCAGAGTGCTAATATCTCGCGAACGAATTTGAGTTACATTTCTAAAATTCTAGAATACATATAAAGCACATGTGTTAGCTATGATTCTGTGATTTTTGAGTTTATTGAAACGCAATAGTGTAATTAATTACCAGAAATATACGTACGCGCGGTATCGATCATAGCACCTGGTTACCACGCCAGCGGCGTCGTGTGAAATACTGGTTGAAACAACTGACTTGTTCCTGGATATGCTAATTGATTGTGAGCTCGGTTCGCCGTCTACCTCGTGTACTAACTCTAATATCTCGCGAACAGTTTGAGTTACATTTATAAAATTCTAGACACATATAAACACATGTGTTAGCTATGGTGTCTGTGATTTTTTTGAGTTTATTGAAGCACGAATAGTGTAATTAATTACCAGAATATACGTACGCGCGTATCGATCATCGCACCTGGTTACCACGGCAAGCCGCGTCGTGGTGAAATACATCGGTTGAACAACTGACTTGTTCCTGGATATGCTAATTGATTGGAAACGAGATCTTGTCTGCTTATTGTGTTGTTAACAGTTTTGTGTTCGGTATTGACTAATCGCGCGGCGTCGCCGTGTGTGCGTGTGCCGCGCGGCTTGTGTGTGTGTGTGCGCGCCGGCCTGTGGGCGTGTGCGGTGCGCCGTGTGTGGTGCGCGTGTGCGTGTGGCGTGTTGTGTGTGTGAAAAATGTTGAATTCAATGATCAATAAACACTGAACAGTAAAATTTCTTACTCAGCGTATAAACCATGTTTAATTAGGAGAAGTGCATATATACATATCCTAATTCGAGTTGAATAAGAATTACAAAAGAACAAGTTTAATAGGATAATGTTAATGGATTGCTGATGGCTGATGCTGTCATGCTGATTACTGTCATGGTGATGCTGATGCTGGCATGTTGCTGATGCTGATGCTGCATGTGACCGCGCATGGTGATGCTGTCATGGTGCATGGTGATGCTGATGATGCCATGCTGATGCCGTCATGCTGATGCTGATGCTGTCATGGTGATGCTGATGCTGGCATGTTGCTGATGCTGATGCTGCCATGCTGACGCCGCCATGGTGATGCTGTCATGGTGCATGGTGATGCTGATGCTGCCATGCTGATGCCGTCATGCTGATGCTGATGCTGTCATGGTGATGCTGATGCTGTCATGTGATGCTGATGCTGGCATGTTGCTGATGCTGATGCTGCCATGCTGATGCTCTATGGTGCTTGCTTGTCAATATAGCTGCAGTAATATGCCCCTAGAGGGCAAAAATGGCAAGAGGTCAATAAAAAACTTTACAACTAACATAACAGAATTAAACAAGACACTGTCACGTTCACTAGTTATCTAGCTTAGACTAAGGTTAGCTCTAACCGCTATGTGTAGTAAGTTGGTACGACATAAATACTAGGCACAGATATATGACAGACAGAAGACAGTGCATGACGTTTCGATGTCCCAGAGTTAGGGGGGTCACCTTTCCGGCCAACACCAATCAAGCACTATATGTGTTAGTAAGTTGGTACGACATAAATACAAGGTATATATATGACAGACAGAAGACAGTGCATGACGTTTCGATGTCCCAGAGTTAGGGGTCCCCTTCCGGCCAACACCAATTAACACTATATGTGTTAGTAAGTTGGTACGACATAAATACAAGGTATATACATGACAGACAGAAACTTGTGCATGACGTTTCGATGTCCCAGAGTTAGGGGGGTCACCTCTCCGGCCAACACCAATCAAGCACTATATGTGTTAGTAAGTTGGTACGACATAAATACAAGGTATATACATGACAGACAGAAACGTGTGCATGACGTTTCGATGTCCCAGAGTTAGGGGGGTCACCTCTCCGGCCAACACCAATCAAGCACTATGTGTGTTACTTATTGCTGGCCTGGCCCGTGAAGATGGAGCAAGCTCTTAGGAGAGACGTGCACGTTCTCTCTCCTGAAGCGAATTCATCCCAGTACTGAAAATTCTGCCCTGCATTCGCACATATTTCTTTCGCTGCTGACGTTTCATGCTTCTTTGCTGAAAGTAATTTAAGCTGAATGCTGACGAATTTCGCTTCTTTGTGCAGCAGGTCAATTAACTCGTACAGTGCCAGCCGCGGCCTGTGCGCACGCTGGTTAAGCGGAAGTGCCAACCTTCGACATCATTGTTGGTTCTTACGCTCTGCTGGTAGA